AATATATATAAATTATATATATGTTATATTTTGTTGTACGCACACGCACCCCCCCCCCCCACACACACACACACATATACACACATATGTATATATGTCATATATATACAGTAAAACTCCAATTATCCCAACATCCTTTTCCAAATTGTTTGGTCATCCGAATTGCTGTCATGTCTCCCCAAAATTTCAATTGTTTTTCAAATCAATTGTTTTCTGTTCACTCTGGCGATGGCGGTCGTTGTGATCTCCGTAATGTTGTTTGTCGCTGCCCGTTTTCTGAGGTTTCTTTTTTATACACGTGTAAAAAATTGTTCCACTTCCGTGCCTGTTGTCATTTTTGTTTTAAGACAATCGGAGGGCGTGCAGTGAAATTACACATATAAGTTTATAAGTGTGAATAGGAACTTAAACTGAACGATCAGGGTACGACTTAACCAGTGGGATCCGGTCGCGTCACACAGCAATCAAATCGGCAAAAATCCAGGCATTAGGCTTACGTGGGCTGCCGGTAGGCCGGGCGCACGCGAACATGTGTGTGCAGTGACAAGACACTATGGCTCATATTTGCAAAGTTATTTACTCTTTTTGCACATGAGTGCTTTTAGCTTTTTGACCATTTTCCGGTGTCCATATTTTCCATTTGATTTACGTTATCCAGATTGTAATGGACTTTTTCCACTGTATAGACTCCATACCATCTCTCTTGGTAGTCTACAAATCAGTGCAAGAAAAGTAAAATTTTGTTATGTCATTTTTAAAAATTTTACGTAATATTCAATATTCTGTAATACAACCTGCGTCGCCGCAGGAATACGGTGCAGAGCATGGAAAAGGCGTCCTCCATGTAGACGGCGCTCTTCCAGTCACCGCTCACGGACATTACATTCCACGCTCATACATCGATGGGAATAATGCAAAATTGTCAAATGAGTAAAATACTCTCCCAATAGATTTGTGACTCGTGGTGAGTCTTCTATTACCCCGAAACGCGCACGACGGCAGGTTCGCGTCACCCGGCCTACAGCCAAATTTTCTCGTGACGTCATGTTCACGTCACCTACCCCTAGCCATGGATTTTTTCAAGACGTGATGGTCACGTCGCCCAGATCCAAGGGTTCAAACATTGTGTTACACGGCTATGAGTGAGAATGTCACCACACAACCGAACAAAGAGTACACAGTCCGCTTTCATGTTACTTAGTCATATTGGAACGGCAAATGCTCTAACCAGCTAACGATGACCCTCACGTCATATACCTAAGCTGTAAACATTCTTTTCAGCTCACGATATAAATTTGGACATTTTTGTCGAAAATGTTCATTCAGAAATCGAACACTGATCGAACAGTAGGCTCCGAACTGCCTTACGAACTACTTTGAAGAGCGGATTTGTAAATAAGTACATGTACAGTAATTAAGTTCTATTTTCACCGCAACAGAGTTTCTTATGTTTGTGTTTCGATTTATTTCCAAGTGTAAGTTGGCTTAGTGTGTGCATGTTTCGAAAGTCGTACACTGGATATCTGAATAACAATTGTCCATATATATATATATATATATATATATATATATATATATATATATATATATATATATATATATGTGTATATGTGTATATGTGTATATGTGTATATGTGTATATGTGTATATGTGTATATGTGTATATGTATATATGTATATATGTATATATGTATATATGTATATATATATATATATATATATATATATATATATATATATATGTATGTATATATGTATATATGTAAGTATATATGTATATATGTATGTATATATGTATATATGTATGTATATATGTATATATGTATGTATATATGTATATATGTATGTATATATGTATATATGTATGTATATATGTATATATGTATGTATATATGTATACATGTATGTATATATGTATATATGTATGTATATGTATGTATATGTATATGTGTATGTATATGTATATATATATGTATATATACATGTATATGTATATGTAAATATATGTATATGTGTATGTATATGTATATGTATTTATACATATACATATACATATACATATACATATACATATACATATACATATACATATACATATACATATATATATATATATATATATATATATATATATATATATATATATATATATATATATATATATTATACATATATATACATATACATACATTTGTGTGTTAGTAAATATATATCTGTTTGATTATAAATCACTCTTTGGTATCCCAAACCCTTATTAAGGAACAACCAACCACTTTCAACCTTTTCTGCAGATGACTGAGGCGGAGATTGAAGCCGTCTTGGATAAAACTATGGTGCTGTTCCGTTTTCTGCAAGAGAAGGATGTATTTGAGCGGTACTACAAGCAACACCTGGCCAAGCGTCTCCTCTTACAAAAGTCAGTGTCGGAGGACTCGGAGAAGACCATGATCTCCAAGCTGAAGACGGAGTGCGGGTGCCAGTTCACGTCCAAGCTAGAGGGCATGTTCAAAGACGTCACCATCTCCAACACCATAAACGAGGAGTTCAAGCAGAGAGTTAATAGTGCCGGGGTGAGTGGCTGGAGGGTTGTCCGGACAGGAGAGCGACATGTTTTTGTTTTCCTAGAGTTCCCCTCGATTTGTTTTTTTTAACTCTTTTTGCCGAGAATCCTCCACTTTGTTGAATGTGGCTCTGAGGTTGGGTTTGGGGGCATGCGTTTAATTGGTTAATTGTAGGTCATTATATTGATGTTCTATTTAAAGATGCCTGTTTTATGATAGTCATTCTGTTTTAAAGATGAACCAGAAATATTTCTCAGTGCAGACTTTCAATTCTGTAATGTCACTAACAAAATTATTTGAAGATTTATCATTTCTTGATTTTTATATAATTTTAACCTTTTTTCCCTGCAAGACAAATTTGTGTGGAGTTGACATATATGTGCGAGTGTTGACAACTGGTTATTGGCCAACGCAGTCGGCAAATTTGAAAGCCAACGTACCTATGGCCCCCAGAAGTGCCTTTGAGGCCTTCAGAAGATTCTACCTCAACAAGCACAGTGGCAGACAACTCACTCTACAGCCACAACTAGGGTGTGTATTGTGGGGATGATTTCCTGTATACTTTGTTTCACTTTTGGCCAAAGATTTTATGTTACTTTTGAGAATCTTATATATATATACACATCATCCCTTAGGAGTGTGTAGAGATGAAATTTATATATATATATATATATATATATATATATATATATATATATATATATATATATATATATATATATATATATATATATATATATATACACACATAGACATATATATACATATTTACATGTGTATATATAATATATATGTTTATATGTATAGTGTATTTATATGAATGTATGTACATACATACATTGTAGTAGGCATGAATGCATAGAGTAAACAAAGACGGTGATTCAGGTGACGTGTTAAAGTTTGCCCATGGTGTTTTCCTGATCCCTTGGGTCATAAATAAGTGATCTGGAAGGGGGGCAGAAAAAAATGTCCCTTAGGGTCCCAAGGGGGGGGGGGCAGGGGTTTCGGGGTATACGAAAATACATCTCTTACATATCGCATTTATTTCTCCTAGCAGGTAACATTAATTCGTGAATGATATACCGTTTCTTATGTTCTATTGCATGACGAATCCGAATATACCATTATTTTGTCGATTAAGTTTAGCCAAAAAACAGTATAAGTCATTTATGCAAGAAAATGGTCGGTAATAAATATGATCATTGGTATAATCCTTCCAGAAACATGTATATAGACTTGAATACTGAAAATGTTTTCTAAATAAAAGTTATGCACCATTGAATTACCTATAAAATGATACCAAAACGAAAGTTCTATGTTGATAAATAAGAAAATAAAAGTGAATTATGTATGGGTAACATTTCATGACCTCACTCACAGATAGTCCTGAGACCCATTAGTTAGGGTTAACTTTTTTGTTTTGGCATAGTATATGTATAACTTATCACACAACATAAATTTTTCTGGAACATTGCCGTGATTTATCTTTTTAGGTACAGATATACAAAGGTACATACGTGAGAAAGTAAAATGCATATGAAAAATACAGGCCATATTTTTTATACACTTATTTAACATTCACAATTTAAGTTTCAGAATAATGTGCAGTTCATGTAAATACTGTGTCTTAATCCATCATTAGCTCAAAGGTATAATAAGCGTACCGTTCTAGACATGCATAATGTGTTTTGTTTACGTAATCTCTATATACAGTTTTCATCTAGTAAATAGTATATGAATTTTATATTTCTCCTAATGCATCACTTTCACGTATTACAAGATTGTACTACCCTACATAAAACAAAGCTGTCAATTTTACATATAACTAATGAAAATGATAATCACTTATCAATTTAAATGAAAAGACTGCTTATTAAAATTAAATTATAATTTTATGTCATGAAAAATGCCTCGAATCACAGATTGAAATACATGAGTAAAGTTATCTCATTATTTTGTTGTAAAAATAAAAGTATCCTTCTATTTACAAACTGCTGCACAGACATTTACATAGGGCTGTGCAGGGTAGGCCCTTCTTAAAGCAACTGCAGGCTCGGCTACATGGTCTCTTACAGCCACATTTTACTAGTTCCTGGCAGACTGATGCAACCTGTGGGACAGACATCCACCGACGAAGTAACTTCCCATCAGTTTCCTTCCATCCATACAAGCAAGGGTCTGGTTCACGAACTTGTGAGTCATGGGCAGATATCCAGATACTGCTCTGGTAGAGAGCTCTTTGACAATGGTGATACAGAGCATTTGAGTTAATGCTCAAGAGAGGTGAACAGCTGACTTTCCATTTTGAGTTCTATAAAAGGCTGGAAAGAACCCATTGCTTCGATCACCTCATGAGAACACTTTCTCAGGGCAGTAAAGCACATCCTTTTTGATCGACCTTTAAAGCAGAGGTTGAATCACACCCGGTTACTGCATGAACAAGAGGAAGGGCACTGCAAAATCTTTTACCAAGGGCTTCTACAATTGCCCTGATGCTCAAAATGCGCCGATGCTTTCCCGTACCATAACTAATGTAGACTTCACAGCTGGTGACAGATGTAGCTTCAAAGAGTGGGAAATGATAAAGTAGAATAATAACTACATCAGAATCGCAGGTCCTCACCAAAACATTTGCATGACCTATCCTCAGTGCATGAAGAATATGTAGTACCATTCGACTGTCAGCTTCCTCTTTGCAAAACTGCCCTTCCATGTCTTCTCCTCGTCCCCAATGCTTGACTGTCTTTCCATCAGCACTGGAAATATACAAGTCACCTGGGATGCTTTGGGTGTCAACTGGGTTATCTCCAAGGAACTTAAAGAGCTCTGCTTTATTTTTGCTGTCTCTCAAGAATTCTGTCCAATTACCTGGTATTTTCACATTTGAATCAACTTTTATTCGCACTCCTGTTCCTCTTCCTGATCTTGTGGCATCTTTGATAGACTGCTCCTTATATGTGTCCCATACAATATGGAGCGACGAGACCTTTCTTAGCTCACATTGAATATACTTCTTAAAACACATGGTCTTAAAATCTGTGAATGTTGCAATTCCACGTCCTGGAACTAACATGTGAATGAGTGCCCCACCATCCACAATGAGACAATCATATGACATAGTTTGCTCCACAGAAATAGGGTTATTTGACTCAGAAACTGCTTTCTCCAGACAGTGAATTATTTCTGATTTCTTTGAAGAATACATAACTTCTTCACTCTCAGCCATAGATGGTGGAAAAGCATGGACCTCATGAGAGAAAAACAAGTCTAAATCTCCTTCACGAGTATTTGTTGCAATGTACATTTGGCTGAAAATTGAGCTTGAGTGTTTTAGTATCTGCTCTTTCTTTGGCTTCCGTTTTACTGCTTTCTTGCATTTAAAGAAGATAAATGAGTTCTTTTTGATAGGGTCCTCAAAAGCTACTTTTCTCTCAAGGAGAACAGTTTTCACAAAGCTGTTGAACTGTTCTGACCTCGTTGGTCAAAGCTGCTGACTGAATGTTTGTCATTACTGTATTTCCCATCAAGATTCATTAAATCTCCTCCATTTTCTAGGAAAGGATTTCCTCGGCTTCTGATTGGTTTCTGTAAATGGAGTAAAAAGAAGACTCTTGACTAAATAAAGTCATGCAACTAGTTTGCAAGTTTAAATGTTATACCTCAAATAAACTTGTTTTACAATAGCAGTCGTAAATACACAAAGTACCTCAAAATTTAATCACTGTTTGTATGGAGCAGTTCTTACCTGTGAAACTTTTTCCCTTCAAGACTATACTATACTGTCATTATAGGCTACATTAGTGACCAATATATCAGCATGCAGTTGGTTTCTGGAAGTGGAGAGAAAAAATATATCAAACTAAATCAGGTCATACGACAACTATCATAGTTCGAAACAGATCCTAAAATAGCCTTCCATCACACAATCAAACACTTCAATGATACACATAGGCCTATGTATCCAAATAGATAGCAAGGTTTACCCTAACTAATGGATCTCAGGACTATCTGTGAGTGAGGTCATGAAATGTTACCCATACATAATTCACTTTTATTTTCTTATTTATCAACATAGAACTTTCGTTTGGTATCATTTTATAGGTAATTCAATGGTGCATAACTTTTATTTAGAAAACATTTTCAGTATTCAAGTCTATATACATGTTTCTGGAAGGATTATACCAATGATCATATTATTACCGACCATTTTCTTGCATAAATGACTTATACTGTTTTTTGGCTAAACTTAATCGACAAAATAATGGTATATTCGGATTCGTCATGCAATAGAACATAAGAAACGGTATATCATTCACGAATTAATGTTAACCTGCTAGGAGAAATAATGCGATATGTAAGAGATGTATTTTCGTATACCCCGAAACCCCTGCCCCCCCCCCCCTTGGGACCCTAAGGGACATTTTTTTCTGCCCCCCTTCCAGATCACTTATTATGACCCAAGGGATCAGGAAAACACCATGGGCAAACGTTAACATGTCACCTGAATCACCGTCTCTATTAGTCATGCCCACTATTGTATATATACATTGTATATATACATTGTATATATACATTGTATATATACATTGTATATATACATTGTATATATACATTGTATATATACATTTATACATATATTTATACATATATTTTACATATATTTATACATATATTTATATTTATTTATATTTATTTATATTTATTATATTATTTATATTTATTATATTATTTATATTTATTTATATTTATTATATTTTATTTATATTTATTTATATTTATTATATTTTATTTATATTATTTATATTTATTTATATTATTTATATTTATTATATTTATTATATTTTATTTATATCTATCTATCTATCTATCTATCTATCTATCTATCTATCTATCTATCTATATATATATATATAATATATATATATATATATATATATATATATATATATAATTTATATATATATATAATTATATATATATATATATATATATATATATATATATATATATATATATATATATATATATATATATATATATATATATACACACACACACATAGACATATATATATATATACATATATACATGTGTATATATAATATATATGTCTATATGTATAGTGTATTTATATGAATGTATGTACATACATACATTGTAGTAGGCATGAATGCATAGAGTAAACAAAGACGGTGATTCAGGTGACGTGTTAAAGTTTGCCCATGGTGTTTTCCTGATCCCTTGGGTCATAAATAAGTGATCTGGAAGGGGGGCAGAAAAAAATGTCCCTTAGGGTCCCAAGGGGGGGGGGGCAGGGGTTTCGGGGTATACGAAAATACATCTCTTACATATCGCATTTATTTCTCCTAGCAGGTAACATTAATTCGTGAATGATATACCGTTTCTTATGTTCTATTGCATGACGAATCCGAATATACCATTATTTTGTCGATTAAGTTTAGCCAAAAAACAGTATAAGTCATTTATGCAAGAAAATGGTCGGTAATAAATATGATCATTGGTATAATCCTTCCAGAAACATGTATATAGACTTGAATACTGAAAATGTTTTCTAAATAAAAGTTATGCACCATTGAATTACCTATAAAATGATACCAAAACGAAAGTTCTATGTTGATAAATAAGAAAATAAAAGTGAATTATGTATGGGTAACATTTCATGACCTCACTCACAGATAGTCCTGAGACCCATTAGTTAGGGTTAACTTTTTTGTTTTGGCATAGTATATGTATAACTTATCACACAACATAAATTTTTCTGGAACATTGCCGTGATTTATCTTTTTAGGTACAGATATACAAAGGTACATACGTGAGAAAGTAAAATGCATATGAAAAATACAGGCCATATTTTTTATACACTTATTTAACATTCACAATTTAAGTTTCAGAATAATGTGCAGTTCATGTAAATACTGTGTCTTAATCCATCATTAGCTCAAAGGTATAATAAGCGTACCGTTTCTAGACATGCATAATGTGTTTTGTTTACGTAATCTCTATATACAGTTTTCATCTAGTAAATAGTATATGAATTTTATATTTCTCCTAATGCATCACTTTCACGTATTACAAGATTGTACTACCCTACATAAAACAAAGCTGTCAATTTTACATATAACTAATGAAAATGATAATCACTTATCAATTTAAATGAAAAAGACTGCTTATTAAAATTAAATTATAATTTTATGTCATGAAAAATGCCTCGAATCACAGATTGAAATACATGAGTAAAGTTATCTCATTATTTTGTGTAAAAATAAAAGTATCCTTCTATTTACAAACTGCTGCACAGACATTTACATAGGGCTGTGCAGGGTAGGCCCTTCTTAAAGCAACTGCAGGCTCGGCTACATGGTCTCTTACAGCCACATTTTACTAGTTCCTGGCAGACTGATGCAACCTGTGGGACAGACATCCACCGACGAAGTAACTTCCCATCAGTTTCCTTCCATCCATACAAGCAAGGGTCTGGTTCACGAACTTGTGAGTCATGGGCAGATATCCAGATACTGCTCTGGTAGAGAGCTCTTTGACAATGGTGATACAGAGCATTTTGAGTTAATGCTCAAGAGAGGTGAACAGCTGACTTTCCATTTTGAGTTCTATAAAAGGCTGGAAAGAACCCATTGCTTCGATCACCTCATGAGAACACTTTCTCAGGGCAGTAAAGCACATCCTTTTTGATCGACCTTTAAAAGCAGAGGTTGAATCACACCCGGTTACTGCATGAACAAGAGGAAGGGCACTGCAAAATCTTTTACCAAGGGCTTCTACAATTGCCCTGATGCTCAAAATGCGCCGATGCTTTCCCGTACCATAACTAATGTAGACTTCACAGCTGGTGACAGATGTAGCTTCAAAGAGTGGGAAATGATAAAGTAGAATAATAACTACATCAGAATCGCAGGTCCTCACCAAAACATTTGCATGACCTATCCTCAGTGCATGAAGAATATGTAGTACCATTCGACTGTCAGCTTCCTCTTTGCAAAACTGCCCTTCCATGTCTTCTCCTCGTCCCCAATGCTTGACTGTCTTTCCATCAGCACTGGAAATATACAAGTCACCTGGGATGCTTTGGGTGTCAACTGGGTTATCTCCAAGGAACTTAAAGAGCTCTGCTTTATTTTTGCTGTCTCTCAAGAATTCTGTCCAATTACCTGGTATTTTCACATTTGAATCAACTTTTATTCGCACTCCTGTTCCTCTTCCTGATCTTGTGGCATCTTTGATAGACTGCTCCTTATATGTGTCCCATACAATATGGAGCGACGAGACCTTTCTTAGCTCACATTGAATATACTTCTTAAAACACATGGTCTTAAAATCTGTGAATGTTGCAATTCCACGTCCTGGAACTAACATGTGAATGAGTGCCCCACCATCCACAATGAGACAATCATATGACATAGTTTGCTCCACAGAAATAGGGTTATTTGACTCAGAAACTGCTTTCTCCAGACAGTGAATTATTTCTGATTTCTTTGAAGAATACATAACTTCTTCACTCTCAGCCATAGATGGTGGAAAAGCATGGACCTCATGAGAGAAAAACAAGTCTAAATCTCCTTCACGAGTATTTGTTGCAATGTACATTTGGCTGAAAATTGAGCTTGAGTGTTTTAGTATCTGCTCTTTCTTTGGCTTCCGTTTTACTGCTTTCTTGCATTTAAAGAAGATAAATGAGTTCTTTTTGATAGGGTCCTCAAAAGCTACTTTTCTCTCAAGGAGAACAGTTTTCACAAAGCTGTTGAACTGTTCTTGACCTCGTTTGTCAAAGCTGCTGACTGAATGTTTGTCATTACTGTATTTCCCATCAAGATTCATTAAATCTCCTCCATTTTCTAGGAAAGGATTTCCTCGGCTTCTGATTGGTTTCTGTAAATGGAGTAAAAAGAAGACTCTTGACTAAATAAAGTCATGCAACTAGTTTTGCAAGTTTAAATGTTATACCTCAAATAAACTTGTTTTACAATAGCAGTCGTAAATACACAAAGTACCTCAAAATTTAATCACTGTTTGTATGGAGCAGTTCTTACCTGTGAAACTTTTTCCCTTCAAGACTATACTATACTGTCATTTATAGGCTACATTAGTGACCAATATATCAGCATGCAGTTGGTTTCTGGAAGTGGAGAGAAAAAATATATCAAACTAAATCAGGTCATACGACAACTATCATAGTTCGAAACAGATCCTAAAATAGCCTTCCATCACACAATCAAACACTTCAATGATACACATAGGCCTATGTATCCAAATAGATAGCAAGGTTTACCCTAACTAATGGATCTCAGGACTATCTGTGAGTGAGGTCATGAAATGTTACCCATACATAATTCACTTTTATTTTCTTATTTATCAACATAGAACTTTCGTTTTGGTATCATTTTATAGGTAATTCAATGGTGCATAACTTTTATTTAGAAAACATTTTCAGTATTCAAGTCTATATACATGTTTCTGGAAGGATTATACCAATGATCATATTTATTACCGACCATTTTCTTGCATAAATGACTTATACTGTTTTTTGGCTAAACTTAATCGACAAAATAATGGTATATTCGGATTCGTCATGCAATAGAACATAAGAAACGGTATATCATTCACGAATTAATGTTACCTGCTAGGAGAAATAAATGCGATATGTAAGAGATGTATTTTCGTATACCCCGAAACCCCTGCCCCCCCCCCCCTTGGGACCCTAAGGGACATTTTTTTCTGCCCCCCTTCCAGATCACTTATTTATGACCCAAGGGATCAGGAAAACACCATGGGCAAACTTTAACATGTCACCTGAATCACCGTCTCTATTAGTCATGCCCACTATTGTATATATACATTGTATATATACATTGTATATATACATTGTATATATATATTTATACATATATTTATACATATATTTATACATATATTTATACATATATTTATACATATATTTATACATATATTTATACATATATTTATACATATATTTATACATATATTTATACATATATTTATACATATATTTATATTTATTTATATTTATTTATATTTATTTATATTTATTTATATTTATTTATATTTATTTATATTTATTTATATTTATTTATATTTATTTATATTTATTTATATTTATTTATATCTATCTATCTATCTATCTATCTATCTATCTATCTATCTATCTATCTATCTATATATATATATATATATATATATATATATATATATATATATATATATATATATATATATATAATTCACACACACACACACACACACACACACACACACACACACACACACACACACACACACACACACACACACACACACACACACACACACACACACACACATACACACACACACACACACACATTTTATATATCATATATATATATTAATTAATTGATTAATTTTTTTTTCTCTTCCCTTCCTTCTCATTTTGTGGCACAGGTCTGCAGATCTCAATGCAGTATTTTATGGCTCAAGAAAGGAAGATAGCTGTTCGGCAGCTAGCAGTGTGGCCTCAGTAGCAGCTTCAGCCTCAGTGACTCCTGCGACATCAGGCGAGGCGACTGTGAGCAGCGTGGCGGGTATCTCGTCATCATCATCGGCTGTGGCAGCGGCAGCAGCGGGTGTCAGCAGCAACAACAATGGCCTAGCCCCCTCTCCCAGTGTGCCAGGGACACCCACCTCGGCTTCGGCTGTAGGGCCCTCCCCCTCCTCCGCCCCCTCTGTCATGGGTGCAGGAAAGCCCTCCGGGCCTAGGAAACACATCATCCAGGTGTCCACGTACCAGATGGTCATACTGATGCTGTTCAACACCAGGGACAAGCTCACTTATGAGGTGGGTTGGAGTGGAGTTTGGTGGCTGTGTGTGTGTACTGATGGATGTACACATTCTTTGCTATTAGTGTAGGTGTGGGAGACAAAAAATAATACTTTTGATGCACTAATCACATAAAGTATTCTGCTAAAGCCGGTTTGTGAATGATTTTCTAGTTAAGGTTATCCTATACAGTACCCCCCCAAAAAAAAAGAGAGAGAAAAAAAAAATATATATATAAAATGGTGTTTAAGTATGAATCATGTCATATTTGTGAGAGAGACAGACTGACAGACACATAATACCATGTCCTAATTTCATCCATGATGTTCTTTCTGCGTAAATGCCACCTTACCCATGATATTGCCTATACACTTCATAAAATCAGAATTCTGAAGAAAAAAAAAAAAAGGGCTTCATAACAGGTAATTTAGTTATTGAAAATGGAATAAATGCAAAATGACCTATTAAAGCACATGTTGTTAGATTACTCCTATGTGTGTGCAGACATGCAGGGCTTGCACACCATTGCACACTGCCTAATATCATAGATTACTCACTCACAATATTACAGACTAATTCCCATAAAGGAGACAAATACACAATAAACCTACTAGTGGGTGGTGCTGATGATATTAAAAGATTGCCACTTTGCTGATGGGTTGTGTTTTGCCTTTACGTACGGGTATGTCTTCAGAGATGGACACCCACCCCAACCCATCTTTTTGCTGTCTATTTTTTTCATGAGTGTATGTGGATGAGTGCTGACAAAACTACCTGCAGAAGTAGATTTATTATTGTTATTTATCTGTGATAAGCCAAATGCCTTTGATATTAGAAATCTAAACCTTTATTACATGTTCTCTTTCATCAACAGGAGATTCAGAACGAGACGGACATCCCAGACCGTGACCTTGTTCGAGCTCTGCAGTCGCTGGCACTTGGAAAGCCTGCTCAGCGTGTGCTTGTCAAGAGCCCTAAGACGAAGGAGATGGAGTCTTCACACGAGTTCACGGTCAATGACTCGTTTACATCAAAGTTGTACAGGTAACCTCTATTTTGTGCAATTTCAGTAATTTTGCTTTTGTGATGTTTATTTTTTTTTAATTTTCTTAATTTACATTCTTCTCATTTGTATAAAAGTTAGTCTTTTATTTTCCTTATCGGAAATACACCATATGATATGACTGAATTGTATTTTCTATATTTTTAAGATTTTTAGTACAGGATGCTTCTTAATATTAATGAATAAAATCTTTTTATATATGTATATATTTCATCTTTGTTTTTATCAGTTTTGCCCAGTTATTCTTTACCTTGTGTGTTGTTGCAGCTTGTCCCTTCCCCACATAGTATTCTCTCTTTACCCTCCCCCAGAGTGAAGATCCAGGCAGTAGCAGCCAAGGGAGAGAGTGAGCCAGAGAGAAAGGAGACGCGGAGCAAGGTGGATGAGGATCGCAAGCACGAGATTGAGGCGGCCATCGTGAGGATTATGAAGGCCAGGCGGAGGATGACGGTTCGTGTCTGGCTTGGGGTTGAGTGGCCGTGAGTGGGAGGGGGACAGGCAGAGAGATCAGAAAACTGCCACAAAGCTGTAGACAAGCAGACAGTCTAGAGCAAAGGGAGATTAGAAGACAGGGGGTGGGAAGGAGAGATGAGGGATTACCACATTTATTTTCTTAGAAATTTGTTGCATGGCTGCAAGAACGTTATCCACACAGTTTATGCTCTAAAAGTATTCTTGGTTATATTTGCAGATGATGCATTGGTGGTACATTGGGGAATGAAGTATGTAAAACAGATAGGTTATTCATACTTACTCTCCTTGGTTATAGCAAACACTTAAAGGTAATTAAATGTGAGTTTTCCATTCTACAGCATAACAACTTGGTGGCAGAGGTAACAGATCAACTCAAGTCCCGCTTCTTACCGTCCCCAATACTTATCAAGAAGAGAATTGAGAGCCTCATCGAGCGAGAATATTTGGCCCGCACTCCAGAAGATAGGCAAGTTGATGGCAGCGTTGTTGTAGTGTTTAATTGTTTTATATTGTTATGGGTTGTTTTTTTTTTCCCTCAGATTTGTAGCAGGGTTTATTGTTTTGTATTTTTATTAGAGATTATTTTTTTTCAAACAAGGTGTAATTTTGGGGTATGTCTGTTTATTCATTGTTTTTTCCTTGTGATGAGATTCTTTTTTTTTAGGTTTTTATTATAATCTCTCTTGCTGTTGATATGAAATATGATATTGATTATTTTCTTTATGCTTATTGATATATGGCTTAACAGGTTTTCTTTATTCTGATATCCAAATGGAAATCATGGACTAAGAAACAAATTTTCTTGACTATAGGGTTAATGTAGTGTTATTTTCTTTGTAATACATCAATACAAAATTGTATTTGATACAATGTATTTGATATTAGTGTTTTTTAAACATCATCACTACAAAGAAAAAAAATCACAAAACAGGCTTTTAATTAATATTTGAACAGTTACATCCTTCTTGTGATTTTCATGAAGGTGTAACAATGATACTGTTAAGGGCTCATTTTGTATTTTGCAATCATTTATTCTCATTCATACCTTTTGTCAAAGTTGATTCCAACCGTTTATTCCTTTTTTACATTTGCAGGAAAATCTACTCTTACGTGGCATGAGGAGTAGGCTGTTTGTACTGGAGCATAGCCAAGGCTGTGAAACCTTCCCTTGCGAGAGGCACGGCCATCAGTCAAGGAGGTTGGGGGGAAAGCAAGACTCTGGAGAGTGTCGGGAATAGGCAGCCAGTCCACCTCCTCTCCTCCGCTTTGCTCTGTCTGTCTTTCGGTCTCTTTTGTCTTCTTCTCTGTCTTTTGGTTTCTGTATGTCTTTGTGGCTCTCTCTCTATCTGTATGTCTCTGTCTCTTCTGTTTCTCTCTGTTTATCTGCCTGTCTCACTGTCAGTCTCTTTTTCTCATTCTCACACCTGTTTCACAAAAATTTTCACTCCCCATCCCCCCCACCCCCCGTACATGTGCTCTCCTCTGCAGGTGTTCACTTCACTCCATCCCGGGAATCTGCGGGACTCACACACACACGCTCATGGACCTAGCAAGTTTCTGTGAGTGTCTTTGATAGCACCAGCCGGACCCATGTGTCTTTGCGAGCACCGGTTGGATGTGTGATGGAATTGAAGAAATAGATAAGTGCTTTGAAAGAAAATAAGAAAAAGGCATAACAAGATCGTTTTGAATGAATAGATGAATGAATGAATATATGAATAAACAAAGGAAAGGAAACAGGAAAAGAGGACCCCTTGATAGCCTGGTTGATCGTTTGGAGAGACACTGTCGACTGCTTCCTGGAGCTGCTGTTGGAGAAAGAAAAAAAATGAAAAAGAAAGGAAGATAGGAAAATAAAAAAGGAGGGAAGAAAGGCAGTGTGTAGATAGCTTGAAAAAGTGTTTAGGACAGTTGATAGTGATCGCAACCAAAAGACAGTGATAATCCGTGGCGAACAAGAGTGTCCAAGGAACTATTTTCCCCCCATCCCTCCCTCTCCCTCCCTCATTCTCTCACTCCCCATTCCCCACCCCCACTCCCCACTCCCCACTCCCCACTCCCCACTCCCATATCTGCCCAATTTGCCTTTTCCCCCCTTCCCCTGTCCCCTCCCTGCTTTTCCCCCAGCCCCTCCCCAGCCCCATTTTGTAAGATTGTTTTTTTTGCTCATGATAACATATGTGTCATTTTCTAAGAATGGCCCCTATATAGTGTCAGAGGTGCAGCCGCGCACCTTCAAAAATTTATACTACGTTAATAGAATTTGACGATGACAATGAGAGGAAAGAAAAGAAGAAAGGAAAAAACACTGAAGAAGAATGAAGACTAAGAGGAAAAATAACAACAAAATACACACATAACATGATTTAAAAAATTATGAATAAAAGTAAATAAATATGTAGAGTGATGAACCCGCTTACTTGCTTGGTCCCAGCGCATCCAAACTTGCGTGTGCGGTCAATGCTGAGCTAATACCAGTTGGTAGACTTTTTGCCGCAAACTTTTTTTCATTGGGAATTTTTTTTTTCTTTTTGTTTTTTTGTTTTGCGTTAAATCTCCTTCCTAACCCACTCTCTCTCTTTCTCTCTCTCTCTTTTTTTCTCCTTTCGATCACCTTTATTTTTTTTTTGTGTATATATATATTTTTTTCATTTTATGTTGATTATGTACTTCTGTTGCTCACGTTATTTTTTTTTCCATTATGTTTTTTTTTTATTTTTTTTTTATTTTTTATTAATTATTTTATTGCAGGCAGCTTATTTAAAACCATTAGTAATGGCATTGTTGTGATAAAGAATAATGATGATAAGAATTTAAACAAAAACAAAAAAACAAAAAAATATTGTTATGTACTGTTAGTTGATGATAAGTTAGTTTTGGTCCAAAATCTGTAAGATCAATTTTTTGCATTTAACATGGCAAAATATTTAATAAAATTTTTAGATTTATTTTTCCTTCATCTTTAGGGTAAACAAAATGGTATTATTGTCAGCAGTCTTCCCATATGGGTTACGGGAGTGAGAGAAACTGAAACTACAGAAAAAGGCTAGTGTTCAAATTCGTCAGGTCAGAAGGACAATTAAAGACCCCATAGAGTTGATTTTATCCAGTGCTTATTGAAAGCAAGTAAGAAAGAAAGGAAGGAAGAAAGAAAGAAAGAAAGAAAGAAAGAAAGAAAGAAAGGAAGAAAGGAAGAGAGAAAAAAAAACACAAAAAAGATGGAACAATAGAATGATCACAATTTTGCGGAAAATATGAGAGATTAGAATTCCCAGTCGTACTATTTAAGGAGATTGGGAAGGAAAGACTTAGACTGCAAGTGAGAAAATCATCCTAAGTTTCATGAAATATATTTATGATTTTTTATATATATATATACATACACACATCTGCCTGCTGTCCTCATGACACATTTCTTTGGAACAGTGCTCTGATTTCCTCCACATTTGTTTTGTTATCTCCTCTATCAGCCTCCCTTGTACACTCGCTACCATTGGAAGTATAAACAAGTTTCTAAAAATGTATTTATTCCATTAAATGTCTGAGAGGCAATTTTTATGTTTTCTGCTCTTCCTATATTTTGCGAAGTGAGTCCTGCCACTAAACCTAAGTATATATTGTGCGTTTTGGCAGAGTTTTGTGGATTTGTATGTCTCTACTGAGCATCATTGTTAAAGTGATTGTAGATGCTATTTATAAAGAAGTGGTTTTGCTCTAATGAAGAAAGCTGCATGTGGAAAAAATGCTGGATGAAATGTGTTGTTCAGTGGAATGTTCATGTTCAGTCAGTAGGTAGCATTTTCTTTATTACATGAAAGATGTTTTTTAACAGAACACAATTATACAAGACCTTTATCATAGCACTGAACACAGGAATTTTTGCCATTGAACACAACAGGTGCTTTGCAATTTATGCACTCCAAAGCATTCGGTGGAAGATTATGATTATGTATATTAAAAAAGAAATACCTGAAGAGAACTACTTCTTAAAGCTGTAGTTGGGCCACTATTTCTGTTCTTATTTGAAGATAACAAGATGTTTTGTTTTTATACATAGGCTTGACATTTACAGTTCTTTGTGCACTGTCATATGTGATGTCAGGAATTAGATTGTTTTTGTTGGACATCATTAAAATATATTATTATTACTGGGTATCAGGGTTGATTGATAGTTTCAATATTCAAAATGAAAAAAAAAGATAAATCTAGACTGCTAAAAGAGGTTAGAATTATAGAGATTTGACAAAAAAATACAAATATGGAAATAGATATGTATCATAATATATCATAATGTATTGAATGCTAAATTCCAAAAGATTCTTTAGTTAGAATTTTGTACTTTCACATCATGGCAAATTTTCTACTTTCACTTAATGACAAATTAACAAAAACAAAAAAGAAATGAAAAGTGCCATTTTTTTTTTACTATTTTCGTCCAATGTAGATAGGGAGAGAACACATCCCTTTTATACTGTTATCCTCCCTCATCTTTTCTGCTCTGGGAGAGACCAGCAGGAGCTTGCTCACTACTAAAACACTCACTCCTGGATATGAGACAATTCGTATGCTCTCTGGCCAAGACACATGAAAGGAAAGCACTGGCTTACCATATAACATAATAGGAATATCGACTCTTAATGACATCTGTCTGTACCTCAAGATTCTGCAAGGGTTTCTGCAAGGAAGTATATTTGAGCCAGACAGTTGCATGTGGTAATGAGTCAGTAGCTAGGATGTCCTCCATATGGTGTGGTGAAGCTTAAAAAAAACGGGTGGGCTGCATGTTGCTCCAATGTTACTGGCTTTGTCATTTACATTGCATTTTATTTCTGCTCCACATGCCACAGTCCCCTTTGCCTCCTTGGTGTCTCCCAAATCATCACGGAGACAAGAGGGCATTCAGCACAGTGGATTCGCAGCTCTTCCCTTTCTCTGGTGCAAAACATTATATTTCGAGGCAGGGACTGAGGCCTTATGTAGGGGTTCACTCTCGCTTTGGACCTCAGCCCTTGCCTCCATAAAAATTGCATGGTCTTTTCTTCTTCCCCTTTCCTTTTCCTTCTCTTCGTCCTTTTCGCCACATTGCTTTGCCATAATGTGTGACATTTGTTTTATCTCTTGACTATTCTGGAAAATTTTAAACCTTACCTCACTGAACAAACTAACATCCTTACCTGAGGACTTCACCCTTAAGTCCCACCCTGTGCTATAGTTTGTGTACGCCACTAGTGACCATAGATGACGCGTCAGAAAACTCCCGACACCGACCTCCCAACCTGTCAGACATTTCGGAATCCCACACTTTCTGCTTTGACTGCCTGTTCTCCTTCCTCAAATGCATACACATCAGCCACTACCTTAACCCATTCACCCATCCCATAACCGACTTTGACCCTCGAAGTACTACTATACATTGTTGACGTATAGCAACTAACTACTGATTCATCCCCTTCACTACTCTTTACTATACCCTCCTATAGTGGTACAGGACCTTAGATGTCTAGCACATTTATTTTGCCTTTAACTGTTAACCGTTCACTATTAACAACGGTGCTTTACATCTTGAAATTGATCATTTTTAATGCCAAATTGCGTCCATTTTATATATCTTTAAGAAACAAAGTAAAACAATGACATAAAATGGCACTCGAATGCACTTGATATTTTTATTATTATTTGTAGATTAATAATAGTGCAATTCCTCTGAAAAATTCATAGACAATATAGATACAACCCCCTCCCCAAATACCTTGCTTTCTGTTGTCGGGGGGGGGGGGGGGGTTAGGAGACGGAGTCTGAGCTCCAATGCAAGGGATCATCTCTGCCTTAGGCCTCAGCCCTCGCCTCAACTAATTTGGTACGGTCTTCTCTTCTCCCCTTTCTTTTTCCTTCCCTTCATCCCCTTCTGTCCACTTATTCTAATCGTTAATTCATTTTCCCCATTTTCGCCACAATACCTTATCAAAGTGCTAAATAACCTTCGATGTCTAGCACATTTATCTGTTTGAACCATTAACCTACACACGATGTATATCCTGTTGCTTTTAAAACATTTGGCAATAATGCTTTTCGGGTTTAGCCACGGTTTATTTGGCAACACTGGCTCATGGATGTCTTTTGAACCCATTTAGTTTTTGTATCGTGTAGTGGGTGCTTAGCTATTCAGCATTTAATAAGGAAGGTCACGCCGAATGCTGCTTTACATGGCATATGATAAAAAAAATCTGTTGGTTCGTTACAGTGTGTAGTGTCTGTTATGGAGACACTAATAAAGGGAGCTGTTCAAAAAAGGGAATATAGTGTTAGGATGTTTTGGAACTTGTGTCTATATAAGATCTTGCCACAAGTCTGAACTCGCTATTACATCCAACTATGTAACTATTGCATCCAACTATTTAACGAGGAAGTATGCCGTTTAGGTTCAACACTGTCCTTGCAATATTAAAGAATATGTACGTTAGTTCTCTTCTCCATCATTTACAGTGGATCTGCCGATAATCAAGCCCATTTCAATCAGCAACCATATTACACAAGTTGACGTATCATTTCAGCTACAGTTTTTTTCTAAGGGTGTCGCAGTGTCATCATTACCATTCAACAACATTTCGGTATGAAAAGGAATCTACACAATTCATACATGCATCCCTGATCACTCTGCATTCAATAGATTCTTCTGTGTCAAATCAAATACTTCTATGATCAAGTCTAGGATTTACCTATTTTTGAGTTAAGTATGTCGAGAACCGCAAAAGAACGCTTCATTCCTCGTTAATCGTAGCAATAAAGACTTGCACTGCGGCTGTGGAATTTATCCATTGTCTTGGCTGCTGAATGGATACACAAGCATTATCTATATAAATCTCACTAAGGCAAATCGCCCATGAAGTGACCCAAGACCTTATTTCTTGGACACTGCTTGAGGAAATGCAACTGTTTATGTATGTGAGAACTCGAGGGATTAAGTTGGAAGTGCAAACGGTTTTATCTTGGGAAAAGAAATTAGAGAGGTATCACGGAAAGGAGGGGGGGGGGGTGCTTCTTCAACTACTAGGGTATCGAGGGATGGTACACCTGATTTACTGTTAGGGGACCGCATGGATCTTTTCGAGTTTTGGTACAAAACGGCATTTTTATCCTATTGCTGGGAGATTCGATTCAACCCACATTTTAAACTATTTATATAGTAGTTTTTATTTTATTTTATATTATGGGATACTGCATGATAATCAGTAACAGAGCTGATCAACACGTAAAACCTTATTGGAATGTTAATATTCATTGCATGGTTTCTACCAGTAATTCTGGGAGGTGTAAATCTATCCTTTAGTTTCGTTTTCAACTCATTAACAGTATTAGAACCCATATTTTTCACCTCGGTATCTGTACTCCATGCAACCTTCGATAACATGATCTGATATACTGAATGGCTCGGAATATACTTTATACCTAACAAAAACTCCGATTTAGCTGTCATACTTTATTCAGTGGAGTATTTATGGAGTATTTGAAGTCTAGCGGTATAATTGTCGTGAGTACTGCGACATATATTTTCAGCATAACATAATATGCATTTATCACGACACTTATTCACCTGAGTGGGCAGTGAATCAGAATGTTAAAGAAAGTTAGGCTTGAGGGCGTGAGTTTAAAATGAGATCGAAGGGCAATGCTCGCAGTTCTGTTACCAAGGTATTCTCTGAATCAAGGCAGTCGCTTCAGCAAGCTGCTTAGAGATGATTCCCCTATGGAGAACATCAAAGGCAACTTTCAGATCTACGAGCACAACCAGAATGTTGCTGATGAAAAAAAGCAAAAGTCCAAATACTTTTGGTCAGTCCCTTGTTGTGACGTCATCAGCGGTTCATCCGTTTTTTGTTTCATCTGAAATTTAAATTCGGTACTGTGCCCGGCGATTTCCGTCAAATTAGATGAAATGCATGTGTTGTTGATAATTACTTTCCCTGTTTTAGTCTCATGAGTGTACTGCTATCTACCATGGGAAACAGGACACCGCACTAACCATGGCAGATGGCAACGATCCCATAACCTGGTTAGGTTTAAAAACATCGCCTTTAATGACAAAATAATCACTTGTACATAATGTCTGTCTTTATGTGAACATTTTTGCTTCGAGAGTTTGCATATTTTGACCCACTTCTGGACGAACGTGATTTGTTGATGTAACAGAGAAAATCTTGCCAACGACCTGTCAGAAATGATTCTTGGTATTCTGAAATACGTTCCTTTCTACATTTGTGCGAGCGCTCTAGCACACGATTTGAAGTCTACTTTTAATATAATATTAAAATGCCATTCCACTCTCTATAACAAATTACATGGCGAGTAGTAGCTCTCCATTTCTTACGTAATGTTGCATTTACTACTAACTCATCCTAACGATTTTTCTTAAAGTAAATGTCCGAAGAGCAGAATGCCATACCATTTCGTCAGCTCAAAGAAGAATCAATATCTCAGAATCTCAGTTAATTTTAAGGAAACAATAGTAATTCACTCGATTTGATCTCACATAGTACATAACAGAAGTATCCCAC